TTGGTATTCCTGGCAAAATGCAAAAGGAAATCACAACTCTGACTTCCAATCCAAAAAGAATTAAGTTCCTTACCCCCTTAAACATAAACATTGAGGTGGATTGGTGACTCTGTTCTGACTTCTCTGAACATCTTCTCAGACATCAGTCACCAAGCCCAAGTATGATGAATCTGGTGCATTTATTGTCCTTGGCAAATGCTTCTAAATATGCTGCCAGTCAGGATAGCCAAGCCTACCCATGAGTTAATCCTAAATCTCCTCTGGCAAATATACCCATGTACCCCATATTAAGCTTATGGAAGTGGCATAAGCTGCCTTCTTGTCAATGAAGTTTTTCCTTGGGGAATTATACATCTTACAATGGACAACTTTCAGCCCTTTTAAGGTGTAGTACAGTGTAAGGTTTTTAGAGGCTGGAGCTGTTGCATAGTGGTCTTCGGATTCCCTATCATAGCACCCAACACACAGTAGATAGATGTTTATTGAGTTCAATTGCATGAACAACCAGGGCTAGTCATGGCCCAGAACCACCACAATCAAAACATACTGAAGATTAATACTAATTTGGGTCATTTGGATACATAAGGATATCTTCACTGTGCCCTTCAAATCATTCATAAGAAGCAGCAGGACATCAAGAAGAGGACTGGCCTCAGAGACAGAAAAATCTGGGTTCAAGTCTTGCCTCTGATATATACTGGCTGGTGACCCTAGGCAAGTCACAACCTCTCAGTGTCCCCAGGGAGCTGACAATTGGTTGCAGCTAATTGGAGTTAGGTGGTAAAATGGAAAGAGCACCAGGAGTCAGAAAGGTCTGAGTCGAAATACAGGCTCGAACACTTACTAGCTGTGTGACCCTGGGCAAGTCACTTAACCACTGCTTGTCTCAGTTTCATCATCTGTAAAATGGGAATAATAATACCACCTACCTCCCAATGTTGTTGGGAGCATCAAATGGGATAAGAATTGTAAATCACTTAGCTTAGTGCCTGGCACATGGTAAGCACTATGTAAGTGTTAGTTATCGTCATCATCATCATCATCATCATCATCATTATCATCATTATCTACATTGGTAGTGGAGTTTCCTGAATGGGAGTTCCCTATACCAATGAAATCATGGGTCCCAATTCAAAAACAAAACATATATATGCAAGTACTCTATATTTATGTTCATTCTATGCTATATTTTAAAATCAACCATTCTGAGACCAAGATCATGAATGCTGGGGTTGGGAAGAACCATAACAACCATTTCATCTGATACCTTCATTTTATAGATGAGAAAACTGAAACTTATAAAGGGGAAGAGACCCAAATAGTTAATGTTGGAACCAGGGGTAGCACCCAGGGTAATGTTTTCTGCTGTGGTGCTTCCACCTGGCCCCTATGCCAGCTGACTCTAACCACAGAAAAAAGAAAAGTATGACTTCAAAAGACATTCTTTCACCAAAATCATCTCTTGGGAGTGGCCATGTTAAAAAAAAAAAAAAAAAGAGGCAGCATGGTAAATGGGGCGGGGGGAGGGGAGGGTGGCACAGACCTATATACAAGATCAATTCTTCTTACCTCTTGGATAAGAGTTAAACCAAGCAGAAAATCCTACATTTTGGACACTGCCATCACTGACAAAGCGAACAGTCAATCGATTTAAGGAGGAGGTGAATATTTGCTGGGTCTGGTTGCAAATTTTTGCTATTAACCGACTATTCAGTGGTCCATCAAAGATTTCAAGATAATCATATGCACAGGAATTGTGTGCCTCCAACCTGAAGAGGAACAGTTAGAACATAGCTTATCAGCATTTTAATTCTAGATGAACTATTTAGTAGTTCTGAGCCCCCACATCAAGGAAATGGAGAGAAAAGCATCTTAAAGTCCAAAACAGCTCATTAGGCTCTGCAGAAATATTCCAACAAATTCTTGCATGTGCACTGGAACATGAGCCAGATTGAGGAAATGGGTGGTTTTTCATCTTCTCAAAATTACATCTTCTGGAACTAATTTTCTAAAATAGTACCATATTCACTTATAACCTCCCCATGTTGAACACATATGTTCACATCATTTTCCTATGATTTAAAAAAAAACTGAACTGAAGAGAAGGGGACCAGTGTTTCTGTTCTTACAGGCCTCCTAAGCTGAAACTGTGGCCCCTCACTAAATAAATACTCTCCCTATCTCTCTGGCTGCTGTGGATGTGAGCAGCCACAAGCTCCATCAGAATGCATGGAGCCTTTGAAAGACTTTGTAAGGACAATGAGAATGGGTGTAAACAGTGGTCAACTATTTTGCTTATCCTCTGCAACTAGGATGGGATAAAATCTGGTTCTTAGCTGCTCTGACTCAGGAATGGGAATCTCTGGTCTACTGCTACTGACAGATATAGCCTGACAATCCACGAAATACGGATGCACATGTGGACAACTGTCTCAGTCCTTGTTATCTCTCTTTAGCTCCAGACTTAAATATTACTCTTTGATATCTGTAGTTAAATGTACAGTCTGGAGTCAGGAAGACTTGAGGTCAAATCCAGCCTCACTCACTTACTAGCTGTATGGACAAGTCTTTGAACCTCTATTTGTCTCAGTTTCCCAATTTTAAAATGCTGATAATAATAGGACCTACCTGCCAGAGCTGTTGCGATGATCAAAAGAGACAATGTTTGTAAAACACTTAGTGCAGTGCCTAGCACATAGTAGGTGCTATATAAATGCTAGCAAATATTATCATTATCTTTTAAAGTACACACACACACCCCCCCACCCCCACACACACACACACACACACACATCTTAACTTTTTTTGTTATTCAGTAATATTCAACTCTTCACGAGCCCATTTGGGGTTTTCATGGCAAAGATGCTAGAGTGGTTTGTCATTTCCTTCATTTTACAGATGAGGAGACTGAAGCAAACAGGGTTAAATGACTTGCCCAGGGTCACACAGCAAGTAAATGTCTGAGGCCGAATTTGAACCCAGAAAGATGAGTCTTCCTGACTCCAGGCTAGGTATGTATGTATGTATATGCATGCAGTGTGTTATATGTGTATGTACACACATATGTATATTTATTGTGTATATGTATGTATAATATGTGCATGCACATGTATACATAATATAATATAAAATGAACCTAATAAAGTCCATCAGCTGGAGAGCAGAATTATGGACATGCTTGTGTATTGAATGGACATTATACTGCACGTGGTATTACTTACTGCAAATGATCGAAGGCCAGATTTATCCTGGAAGTGTAATTCACTTCTATCTGCCAGACACAGTTGACATTGTTTGGATAATATGAAGGATATGAAGGACTTGAAAATGACCCAGAGGCAGTGAAAAAGAAACCACCGCATCTAGGAGGAGACACTACAAAAGAGAAGGAAAGATTAAAAAGCAGATATTTCCTTCGAGGCACCTGTGTAGGACTTCTGTTCATTGATGCCTCATGTTCTTTTCCACTATGGGGAGAATCAATGGGTGCACTGAAACAGAGCAGTCTTCAGGCTATCATCTTACACATGAGGAAACTGAGGCCCACAGAGGGTAAGTGACTGGCCCAAAGTGACGCAGATAACAGCTATATAAGGTGAGATCCAAACCCAGGTCTTCTGACTCCAAACTCAATGTTCTTTCCATCACACCACAGTCACTCTTTTACAGTAATAATTTTTTTTAAAAATTAGGAACAGCAGTATTTTTATGGCATTAAGTCTTCTCAATGAGATAAACATGAGAAAGTCATGGCATAGTGAATAGGGAGCTGACTGCAAAACCGGGAAGACTTGGGCAGGTGGATACATTTAGAAAAGCCATTTAACCTCTACCTGTCCTAAGAAAACTTCTTAGACTTTAAATTGGAGAGATAATGTCAACCTGCCTCTGGAAGGTCCCTATATCAATGAAATCATAGTTTTAGTTCCTAACCCTAATGAGCACAGCACTCATCAACTATCATTCTCTTTGGGTAAGAAAGATCTCAAGAGGGCCTGAGAAAGAAGATTGGTGTGGATGAGACCGAATTACTACTAGAAAGAAAATTTAAAAAAAGAAAAAGTTTATTGATCCAGATTAAGCAGTATAATTGTTTTAAGACAAAGAAAGACAATTAAAACTATAGCCTAATGGACAAATGGACAAATCCAGAAAACCACCAGCTAGTGAATGATTATTATCCCTATTTTACAGATGAGGAAACCGAGGTGAACAGAGGTTAAATGACTTGCCCAGGGTCACATGGCCAGTAAGTGTCTGAAGCTAGAATTCAACTCAGGTCTTCTTGACTGCAGGCTCAGTACTCTATCCACTGCATCACCTAACTGCCTTAAGATGCCAACTGATCTGAGATACTGTCTACATTGGGACACTGTGAGATTAAGTGTCTGACGTCACCAGTCAGTACATGTCAGAGACTGAACTTGAGCCCAGTTCTTCCTGACTCAGAGGTCTCTATCCATTAAATAGACTCACATGCCAGAGTAGGCAATTAATAGATGCTGAATTATTGAAGTGTGAGAATGCACAACACCTCTGAAATGTTCCCTTGACAGCTGCCCTTTCCAGGCTTCCTAAACACAGGAAAACTAACAGTCACAGATGGAAGAAAGGAAGGAAGGAAAGAAGGAAGAGAGAAAGAAAGAAAGAAAGAAAGAAAGAAAGAAAGAAAGAAAGAAAGAAAGAAAGAAAGAAAGAAAGAAAGAAAGAAGTGAAGAAAGAAAGAAAGAAAGAAAGAAAGAAAGAAAGAAAGAAAGAAAGAAATGAAGAAAAAAAGAAAGAAAGAAGGAAAGAGGAAGGAGGGAGGGAAGGAGGGATAAAGGAAGGGAGTTAGGAAGGAATGAAGGAAAAAAGGGAAGAAGGAAGGGAGGGAAAGAGAGAAGGAGGGATGAAGGAAGGAAAAAGGAAGTTAAGAAGGAAGGGAAGAAGAAAAGGAGGGAGGAAGGAAAGAAGGAAAGGAGAGATGAAGGAAGGAAAGAAGGGGAGGAGGGAGGTAAGAAGGGGTGGAAGAAAAAGAAGAAAGGAAAGTAGAAAGGGAGAGAAGGAAAATGCTCTTCTTCTGGTGAGGGAAGACAACTAATAGATAAGTCTGAAAAAAAAAGATTCTCTAGCACTTAGCAGAGGGTCTGGCACACAGTGGGTACTTAGTAAATGTGTATTGACTGACCTGATTTTGAACCTGCATTGAAAGGCACTACATGAGTGCATTCCAACCAGTTCCAGACTGATTTCACTCCAGAACCCTCCTCTAGAGTCAAAGGGAATTGGAAGGTTGGAGCTCACCCAAATTCCACTGCCCAAACCATATATCCTATTCCAAGGTCACCCTTTCAAGAAAGAACAAACTCTGTTGTATATGCCCTACAACACAACTCAATGGCTTGGGCCAGGGATCACAGAATCAGATGTAAGGTACAAACCCAGTGATGAATTTCTGGAGTCCTAAAGCTTTAACTGAGTCTAAAATCATGGAGAAATGTGAGGTCTGTAAAGAAATTTGGATTCAATAGTCCCTGGCTCCTGAATTTATAATGGTCCCTCTGAAGAAGTCACACCCCATGCATGACTGTATACCCCTCAGCAGGCCTTCAGGACCCTCGTTCTACTACTCCAGAAAATTTTAAAATTCCCTTGGAAGGAGGGCCCTCATATAACCACTCTTCAGAAAGAGAGAAAAAAGGTCCTTATGAATATTCATATTTTCTTCCTTTTCTATGCCAAAGACTGATTCCCAGACTCCTCTCAGGAGAGACAAAGACAAATGCAACCCCTGATGTGCGGCAGCTAGGTGGTGCAGTGGATAGAATGCCAGGATTAGAGTCAGGAAGATTCACTTTTGTGAGTTCAAATATGGTCTCAGAGACTTACTAGCTGTGTGACCCTGGGCAAGTCACTTAACACTGTTTGCC